TTTTTGTTTTTAAAAACAATTTTATAAAGAAATAATTATACCATAGCATTTTGAAAGATATATTATTTCATTGGGTAAAATGTTCATGATTTAATACAATCTTCTTTTTAACAATTTTTTCACCTTTCACTGAACTCCCTATGTCCATACCCCGTCTGCTCCCCTCTTACATCCCCTCCTTCCTCTCCTCTGTTCCCTCTCATAGTCATTGAATTCCTTTTGCTGAGTTCAAGATTTCTATCATTCTTTGCATATGATTATTTTTTTGGTATTTGTAGTCCACAGATGAGTAAATGCATCTGATATCTTTCTTCTACTTTTTGAATTATTTCACTCAACATAATCATCTTGAGGTCCATTCATTTTGTCCCAAATGCCACTATTTTGCCTTTCTTCATAGCTGTGTAGTTCTCCATTGAGAGAGGAAGTTAAAGGGGTGGAGAGAGGGGGAATATACATACACATATATGCATATATACACATATATATGCATATATACGCATATATATGAGTATTTTGGGGGGTTTTTACAATTATGTGTTGATATGTGTGAAAAAAGTAGTATGGAGGAGGAAGGAGAAAGGATTCCTGGATAATTGAATATCAATATGTAGAAATGATCTTAGATCCTTTTGATAAACAAAGTAACAAAGTGGGGCCCTCCCTGGTGGCGCAGCAGGTTAAAGCACTGCACAAAGAAGCTTAAGCCACTTCCACATGAGTTCGATCCCCGCCTGCCCCGGAGGAGCTCCACATGGCGAGGCAGACCTCCCCAGGCCCGCCCGCTGCCCCCCTCAGCAGTGTACTTAGTCGATCTGCCTGTTCTGTACCCCACTCTGTCTCTGGTGAATCCTCTCACCCTCTGCATCTCTGGCCTGTACCCCAGTTCTGTATGAATAAATAAATAAATCTTAAAAAAAAGAAAAGTAACAAAGTGAATCGAGCACCTACATGTAAGCTAAAAACTAAAATCTTTAAGAAAAAATACAGGAGGGACAGGAGGGATGTTTGTCCTTGAGTTGTGCAAAAAGTTCTCAGAAATGACACAAAAAGCCTGAGTGACAAAAGGAGAAATTGATAAACTGAACTTAATTAAATTGAAAAACATTTATTTTTCAAAAGCTACTATCATCAAAAGGAAGTCATAAATGACAGATCAAGAAAAAGTATTTGCAAATCATATCGTATAAAGATCATATAATCAGAATAAATATTCTTAAAACTCAGTGAGACAACTACTATAGTTAAAATACTGATGGAGTACTATACTATTAGTAAGGGTTCCCCGTAGAAACAACTGGGATATGTGTGGGTGTTTATGAAGAGATGTATAAGAAATTGGCACACATCATTATGGGGGCTGAGAGTCCCCAAATTACAACATCAACTACCTACAGACCTAAGAGTGATGCATTGTTCAAGTCCCAGCACCTGAAAATCAAGAGAGCTCATAATGGACAATTCTGTGGGTTGGGAACCATGAAGAGCTAGTATTTCAGTTATGGTTGAGGCTGAGAAAGACCAGAGACTTAAGTTGAACAGTCCAGCAGGAAGAGAGGGCTCTTACTCAGAATGTTGGTTATTCAAATGCCTGTGAGGAGGAGCGCACATTGCTTTACTCAACCTGATGATTGAAATGTCAGTTTCATCTAGAAACGCCATCACAGACACACTCAAAATGATGTTTAACTAAATGGGACCCTCTGTGACCTAGTCAAGTGGACGTGAAAGTGGCCATCACAGCCTACTGCCAAACAAGAAATGCACAGGTTGACTCAAGTAGGGAGAGATGCCCAGTTTCATTGGTTACTTGGAAACGCGTAGTCAGACTACAGGAAGAGGGATGTTGGTGAGAATATTTTAGGATAAACTGGTCTTGGTGACAACATGGAGAAAGCTCTTACATTGACCATGGGAATAAATGATTCCATCTCTTTAGAAAACAGCTTTTTTTCTTATAAAGCTAACATTTGCTTTATGACCCACCACTTCCATTCCTGGGAATCTCCATGGAATGAAAACATGTGTCCACAAATGTACTCAGAGAAGAGTTTTCATATAGGTGTTGCTTGGCAGCAATCCAATTGTCCTTCAGCTGGTCAACAGATTTAACAAAATGCAGTATATTGTGTATGGGAGCTGCCATGGGCTAGAAACTTGAGGGAATTTGAGGGGTCATGGATGGGAGTGTTTTAAAATTTGATACGATTGTACAGTTGTGTAAGTTTATTTATAACGATTGACTTGTACTCTGTCAGTGGGTGAATTTCACAAGGTGTAGCTCAGTCATAAAAAATGTGCGTATATAAAATGTTTCACAGTAAATGTGAAAAACAATTGGGGAATCTGTCAGGGAATGGAAATTTTTGTACTATTCCATCTTATATGGCAATGAATTAAAAATTTCATAATTATAAAAACTTGAATGTATTACAGTGGTTTGATTTCCTTTTGTAATAGTTCTTTAAAATGAATTAAGGAACTTTTAAAAAAGGCTCTATCTTTAAAATGTCATTTTGTCTTAGATTTTTATTTTTTGGTTTATTTGATTTGCTTCATGCTTTGAGCAGACACATCTACTTTCGTGACTTTTTCTCTGCAGGACAGTTGCTAGCAGCCCCAGTGCCTCAGTGAAGCTGTCCTGCTGTTTGTACAGAATGGGGTGCTGCTAGGGAGCATTCCTACCTCCTGGCATGACATTGCGAGGCGATTTCTGTGCCCCTTTCTGTGCAGTATAAACGTGTAGATATTATTAGCACTTTGACTGAAGGATGCGAACACTGCTATTTCTCCCTTTGGCAATATTTCTTAGGTTCAGTGAACACATCTTCTTTATTATTTTTTTTCCCCCATGAAAGAAAAAGTTAAATGCAAATATCAACACATTTGTTGAGAGCAGTAACTTAAAGTGAAGTTGTGTCACTCATGTTAAGGTATATTTATATGCTGTATTTGAAGGTCACTCTGTAAGACTGCTCGGCCAGAAGAAGGATAATGGAAAACGGTTGGGGGGAGCACGACTGGATTTGCCAAAGATTAGGAAGAATCCACTGATAGAAATCATCTCCATCAATACGGGGTAAGCTTCTCTCAAGTTATCATCAAATACTCAATATACTTCATGAATTCAGTTTCTTATTTTTCTTCCTGGACATATAACCTAGACAAGTAGTTCCACATTTTCCAAATGGGAAAGAAAAATCAGAAAAATATAAACTACTTATATGTAGTTCCCTTTAAGATGCTTCCTGTATACTACTTACACTTATATTGGCAGCAAAGTTTTATATCTTTAGTTAATGTTACTCTGATTTCCTTTTTGGTAATAATGAAGGCTTCACTTCCCAGCTTTGTCCTTGGTTGAAGTCTTTTCAGAAATGTCAACACATACCATTTGTGACTATTTTTTCAGTAGAAGTATAGTAAATATTGACTGAGATATTAACCATATTTTGATTATTAACTACATGAAACACATATTGGTTAACATTTTTAAAAGATTTATTATGCATATAGAACTGGGGTACAGGCCAGAGGGCATGGGCCATTAGAGGATTCACCAAAGACAGAGTGGGGAGCTGGACAGGCTGACTGACGAAGTACATTGCTGAGGGGAGCAGCGTCCGGGTTAGGAGAAGTCTGCTGTGCCAAGTGGATCACCTCCCTGCGGGAATCGAACTCATGCTGAAGTGGCTTTAGCTCCTTAGTGCTGTGCTTTAACCTGGTGTGCCACCAGGGAGGGCCCTGAAATACATATTTTGAAATGTTCTTTCTAAGAACCTTAAATTGAAATTGAACATCATGACTGAGTATTAAATACTTTTAATTTCTACATGTGAGTCTGAAGATCTCCCTAATTATATCTCTTGGTATATTAATTTATACTTGGTATTACTTGCATTTGTTGAATTTGGTTCCTTTAAATAATGACTGCACATGGAAAGGTTTTGGGTTCCCACTTTAAGTTCTGTCTTAATAGTCGAAATGTCTGACAAGGCCAAGGCCTTTGTTTCCTTAAGCCATGGGGAGTCTCTGCACCCCATAACAGCCTCACATTTCCCACATTGACAAAGCTTCTTTTTGGCTTTGTCTTCCCTCTTGAAAAACTGTTTTCTTCATACTGTTTCCTGCTGAGAGCAGGTGAACTCACTTTGCCTTCCCAGCATCGTTTTACCTCTCTTCCTCTCTGTAAGCACTGTTGCTGCTGTGGTCACTGGTCACCCTTCCTCTGGCCGTCCCCATCACACTGCTGCCAGGGTTGGGGAGGGCCGAGATCTCAGGGACCCTCCACCCAAGTCCCAGGGGTCTTTCAGTTGACCTGGTGAATTTGTCCAGAACCAACATCTGGCCTTCGTTGTGAAGATTACAAGACCTGAAATCATCAAACTCAGGTTGGAGTCTCAGATTTGGCAGTGAGACATGTTGTCGCATTAACCACGGTATCTAATACCTTCTGTGTCTCTCACCTGCACCAAGTCATCATGCAAGGGTGCCGCCATTTTCTGTGTCTGCTCCCCTTCTCCCTCGATACTGCATTGCTGGCATTCTTAAATTAACTCTCATTTCCTATACATACTTACAGCACGCCCTTTACATTCCTCTCCTCCACGTTTGCCTTATTTTCTTGTATAGTTCCTCACAGTTGAAGAAAACGATACATGTATTAATGTATGTTTATTGATATTTTTTGTCTCCTGGCAGTTCCATGATAGCGAGGACTCTTACAATTTGCCATTGTGTCCCTAGTACACAGCAGGACGCACACAGTAGGGGTTAAGTGAATTTAATTGAGCGAATGAATCACTGATCTTTATAATTTAATGTTTCAATGGGATTATGCTATGTCCTCCTCATAGTGCAGACAGCTTTGCTAGTTGGACAGTAGTATTTGGAGATTGGGGTACTTCCTCCTAAATCAGCTACTTAGAGAGAAGAAGAAAAAAAATGCTTTTTCAGAATCTCATTTTTTGGGGTGTTAACTGTGCTGTACTGATTAACACCTTTTTGGCTAAAAGCAATCCTTTAAGTACAATTTTATCTTAGAGTCCCTCAAATCCTATTTTATTAAAATCATATCTTCAGGGTGACTTTGCAACTGTTTTTGACCCACTGAGTCTTAATTTTAACTGTTTTCAAAGATGTTTTATTTTCTAGTGTGTGTGTACTTTTTACATTCACCCCTTTCAGTATCAGTCATCCTGAGCTATTTGAAATTGTCTATTTGAAATTGTCAAACTAATGATTCTTCTCAGTAATGGTTCTGGGCCTCTCTGTACGCTGTCAGGTCTCCTGGCATGGAGACTCACTTTTCATTGTTTCTTCTGAACTGAGCTACCTGTCCTTTCTTTGGGTGGTTGCTTGTTCCTCCTCCTAGGGCTGAACTAAATGCACCCCTCCTTCCTTTGTGCATATGATAGAGCATTTCCATTTTACCCTGGTTACGGCATTCTTACCAATGTATATTTTACACTAAAGTACAAGCCCCTTGGGTTCTGAAAGTATTTAATTTTTCATTTAATTTTTCTGAGGTCAGTGTCTACTACAATGTGAGTACTCACTACATGCTTGTTAAATAAATGTTTTGCTTTAAAAATGTTACCCTTTCTTGCAACCATACAGTCTTTAAAAGTGGCTTTAGGTAGATGGGGGGCAGAGGGAAGAGAACCCAAAATGTTTAAGTAACGATTTTAAATAGCATTAATTTTTTTCATGCATGCTTAATTTCCCTTCTTTTGGATTTAGTGTTTTCAAAAATTGGACAATACCCTGAATTTTTAGTCCATTCATATTGCTGCCACTCATCTCATCCTCTCACTTTATGGTTAAATTGACCTTTCCTAATAAGTAAATTATACTTTTTGACATTAAGAGAATTCAGTCCATATTGTCTTTCATTGAAATTGGAATTTCTAACCTTCTCTTACTACAAATCATTGTCCTTAATTTGATTTCAGCCTTATCACTTGTTCTCATGTGAAAGTATCTCTGTGCGTTCTTCTCTGTCATCATGCTTAATATTTTGGTGTTCTTCCCTGCATAAAGCTCGTTGTTTTTTTTCCATTTAAACTTAAATGAAACTGTTTTCAAAGAATTGTACTCATGATTAATTCTTTTTTTTTTAAATGGTTTATTTATTTATGCATTCAGAATTGGGGTACAGGCCAGAGGTGCAGGGGCGATGAGAGACTTCACCAGAGACAGAGTGGGGAGCAAAACGGACAGATCGATGAAGTTCACTGCTGAGGGGAGCAGCTGGCGAGACAGGAGAGGTGTGCCGCACCATGTGGGTCACCTCCTGGGTGGGGATTGAACTTGCACCGAAGGGGCCACTGCCAGCTTCACAGTGTAGCGCTTTAACCATTGCACCACCAGGGAGGGCCAACTCATGATTAATTGTTTGGAGATTTTTGAATAGATGAGGAAACTAAGGTGCTGAGACATTAAATGACTTCATTGTTATGAAACTAATGATTGGGCCAGGTCCTTAATATTAACTCCTGTGAGATACCTCTGTGAATTCAGAGGAGTAAGGAATGATAGAGGGATCTGTGGAGCTGAATAATTTCTTAATTGTGATGACTTTTGAACAGGGCCCTTGGTAAGTAGAATTTTGATAATTATGTTTGGCGGTATATTCAACCTCTATTGCTGCTGTAGCACTGACAGATTGGGTCACTCCAGCAACACAAATTGCTGTCTTCCAATTCTCGAGCTCCAAGTCTCACACAGGTCTTAATATGAATGTCAGGTTGTCAGCAGAACTGTGTTCTGTAGGCTCTTGAGGAGATCTGCTCTCTTTCTTTTGTCAGCATCTCCAGTCAGCTCATATTGCAGGCTCCTGGTGCCCTTCCTCGCCTTTGTAGTTGGCAACATTGTATTTCGTCATGACTTTCTTTCCCACATCTCCCTCTGCCTCTGCTAAGTGCCACCTGGGTAATTAATTTAAGGACAGTCCCCTTCTTGTAATGCCACCTGATTAATAACTTTAACATCACATACAACTTTAAATTCCCATTTGGAATGTAGGACTCTGGGGAGTTTGGATAGGAATGATGAGAAAATTGTGGATTGAGAATAGAATGAACAAAGATTGGAATGGGCCGTGTGAGTTCTCCAGTAAATTTCATGAAGGTGGGATACATTCTCTTTTATATGAAGAGTTGAGTTTTCCAGGATGAGAAATTACCCTTAATTCATTTGGTGTAGGTAATGGTGAGCTACTGGTCTCTGGGACAGAGGTGAGACATACTCATAGCTGGGCACAGGAAGCTTATCCTGGCAGTTTTGTGCTGGAAGACAGGAGGCAAGGAAACCACTTTGGAGGATATTGTAGTAACCCAGCAGGAAGGAGTGAGGGCCTGAGAGGTCATATCCGGAATGAAAAGCAAGGATAGCAGGACTGGGTGATGGTTGAATAGATGAGCTTAGCGCATTCCAGTGGAGTTACTTGTCACAGTGGACTTGGAGGTTCCAAAGAATGGTTGGAGATGGGCAGAGAAGGCCAAAAAGGGACTTTGGTTGTAGGAGTGAGAGTGAACGAGGTCGCTGGAATGGCCATTGCCCATGTATAGGAAATGGGAGGTGACAGAGTAATCATCTCTGAAATAGAAATAACCAGAGGACTTTTCTTCTTCTTTTTTTTTGTTTTAAATATGGGCTGTTAAATACTATCAGTAGTTTTAGATTCCTTAAAGAGAAATTATATTAAGATAGGGGAACCATTTCTGTGAGTTTCTATAGAAACCTGGTTAGAAATTCTACTAAATTTTTGCTATAGAAGGATTGTTCTTTTTGAGGAGCTTAAATATAAAGTAAGAGAGATCATCTTTAGAGAATAGAAAGGTTTTTCAGCCTGAGTTTGTTTAGAGACAGAAGAATAAGAATTAGTAATCCAGTAATAGGAACAACTGTTTCAAGAAGTCTATGTACACAGAAAGGTAAACCATGCAGAGGAAGAGAGACCTTTTGCTTTCTTAGAGATGAGAGTGGAAGGCTTGGATTTCAGTGTTGACCTTACGAGTTCCTTTTTCTCAGACATCTTGCCACTTTAATTTAGAGAAAGCAGTTCATTTCCTCACG